CAAGCGAAAAGTTACCTTTTAAATTTTTTGATTCGCAAGCATTTAAAATCTTGACAGAGCAGATATTCTCTGGTCTAGGGATACCTGCAGTTTCTTCCACAAACATTCATGATTTGGTCTGCTCAAAATACGAGTCAACCAAACAGCAAGTCAAAGCCCTTGTGAAAAATAAAATGTTGTCACTAAAACTAGACACTGCCACACGTCATGATCGAGGCATTTTAGGAGTTAATATTCAGTTCTGCGTTGACTTGGAGCTGCGAATATATACTCTAGGAATGGTAGAACTGACTAAGAGGCACACTGCTGAAAATGTTACAACTGAAGTGGAGAATATTCTGAAGAAATTTGATATCGGAAAGTCCCAAATTTATTCGGTTACAACCGATAATGGCAAGAATATGGTGAAAACAGTGGAGCTTCTTAATTTGCTTGATGATGAAAGTGACGGTACCGATGATATGAACGAGGAAGGATTGACAAACAACATCAATATTCTGTCAATTACTTCTATTAAGTGCGCAGCTCATACCCTTCAACTAGCTGTGAAAGATTTTTTGGTGGACGTTCCTTGTGGCGGAGTAATTGAACGATCAAGGAAAATAATAAAACTTTTAAGAACTCCTTCATACAAGTAAGAAATCGCAAACTAAATACATATCATAGTGTCATAGTGCCTTATTGTCCTTGTCCAGCTCAGGCATTCAATCATATTATCGTTTTAAGCAACCATCTGATTTTCAGAACAACCATCTCCCCTCATAAAGCTTCAAAGGGCAGAAAAGGTGCCTTTTTTGCCTTACACAAGTATGACATTTTAAGAAACGAACACAAAATGTTTTCACCCTTTGCCCTTAATTTAGAATCGAACACGAAAAGAGAAAGAGTAATCAAAAGGCGACCTTTTTTGGTACAAACGAAATCGCCATTAGATTATTGTTTGGATTTTCGTCGATTTTAAATTTGCTATCCCAAAATAATTTATAAAACACCGCTCTGAGGTAAAATTGTCGAGTAACGACAGCCGAACTAGAAACACAAAATTTATTATATCAATTGCATTACGAAAATTATACGAATTTTTCTAAAAGCATTGGAAACTGACGGAATAATTTTTATTCATATGAATCGTTGAATTCATAATATTCCATTTAGATACACCATGGCAGCTCAGGGGCTAAATCGGCCAATAATAGATGTAGTTACGAGGTGGAATTCAACCTTCCAAATGCTTAAAAGCCTTCTAAAATTCAGAGAGTTTTGCGCTGAGCACATTGAAGATAAATTCAATCTAAACATCGCTGAGTGGAGAGATGTGGACGAATTGGTTGCAACATTGGATCCAATCTATGAGGCAACTCTAAAACTGCAATCCAGTCAATTATTTTTGGGGGATTTTTATATTCTATGGATGCAACTTAAATTGAAAGTTCAAGCAAATAACAGCGATAACAACCAATTGTTATTTAAGTGTTTGGAAAAACGAGAAGAGAGGCTACTGAATAGTCCTTCAGTTCTTGCATGTGTTTATCTGGATCCTCGAATACGCCGATTATTAATAAAAAATCCTATTAAAATGATGTGTGCGAAGTCCCACTTGAGGCAACTTATTCGGCAGATTCTTATGTTAAAAAAGGGGGTAAGTTTCATATGTTTAACCTTAATGAACTACAGTGCATTTTGGTTTGCTCAACATCACGTTTTCAGTAGCTTAAGGCTGAATTAGTAGTGTCCTACCATAGCCACCAACCATAACCATAGCAATTAAATGTTCCGATAAACGTACGAAAAAAGGTTTTTTCTTAACAGCGGTCGTCCCTCGGCAGGCAATGGCAAACCTCCGAGTGCATTTCTGCCATGTAAAACAGCTTCTCATAAAAATACAATCGCCGTTCGGAGTCGGCGTAAAACTGTAGGTCCCTCCGCTTTGTGTGACAACATCAAGGCGCACGCCAAAAATCGGAGGAGAAGCTCGGCCAAACACTAACATATGTGTAAGCGCCAATCTATTATTATTTAAAACGTACGCGCAGCTCTGTAAACGATTATTCGTGCCATACTATAACGCCAGAGCTGTAACCATAACTATAGATATCGATTTAATTTTAGTTTTTCGCCATAATCATAAGCAGCTCTGAAGTATTTTGCTACGTTATGGCTAAGGCGTTATGGTTATGGCACCTCTAATTTGGTCTTTAAGCTGTATTTGGCGTTACTGACTATATAATCAATTGTATACAAAAGAGCGACCTGTCCATTAATACTTAGTGGCGCAAACCGAGATGCTATTGCATGCATTATGGTTCAGTTTAGAAATGGCAGACTTTTAAAATTTGTATGCAATTTTAAGACATAAATAATGAAAAACAAGACTATGAATATGAGCAAACATAAAAGATGAATTAAAGACATACTCGTGTTTTATTTTTCTTTTCAAGTTCCCAAGTCAGGAAAATAATGGCAAGGGCGAATGCGACACATCGGAAGATATTTGTTTATCGCCGTCTATTGAAACTTCAGATGTAATTTGGCCGGAAACTCAGTCGCAAAGTTCAACTTCTTTGCTTGGAAACCTTCTTAATTCAATTGAAGTGTCTCCATCGGATGAAGAGTCCGACGATCATGCTGAAGATAGCGATTTGCAGAAGGCTATTAATGAAGTTGAATGCTATGCACCAAAACAATTGGATTTAGATGTTCCTATAATGGAGTATTGGAAAAAAAAGCAATATACACATCCGTATCTGTGGTCGCTGGCAAAAGTGGTTCACAGTACTCCAGCGACACAAGTCAGTGTGGAACGGTCTTTTTCGGCGCTAAAACTAGTTTTAAGTGACTTAAGATGCAATTTATCACCCGGAATTTTGGAAAAAATTTTATTTTTAAAAACAAATAAAATGTAATGTAATGGGCCGTGGTTCTGAAGTTAAAGTTCTCTTGATTAATTTTAATCAAAATAATCCTGACAGTTGCATGTTTCGAACTTATTTAACATAACTCACAATAAGTTGAGTGGGGTTTCGTCAAGACTTTCACGAACTTAGCTTCCGCGGAACCGTGGCATGAGTTCCTTGAGAAGAGTTAGGTGTGGTGAGTTGAGGCGAGTTGCGTTAAGATGAGTTTAGGTAAGTTAAGGTGAGTTGAGGTGTGGTGAGTTGAGGTGAGGTAAGTTAGGGTGAGTTGAGATGAGTTGAGGTGAGGTGAGTTAAGGTGTGGTGAGTTGAGTTTAGGTGAAGTGAGGCGTTTTGAGTTTTACGATCTGCAAAAAAAATAAAACTCAAAAGTTAATTTTTATTTCTGAGAGACAAAATTACGCTCAAGAAATGAGTTTTATTTTCGATCAAAATAATAAAACTCAAAAAATAATCATTATTTTTGATGAAAGAAATAAAACTCAAAAAATGATGATTATTTCTGATCAAAACTATAAAACTCATAATATAATGATTATTATTGATCAAAAAGAAAGCAACTCACAAAATAATTATTACTTCAGAGCAAAAAAATAACGCTCGAAAAATGAGTTTTATTTTTGATCAAAAAAATATAACTCAATAAATGATTGTATTTTCTGAGCAATACAATAAAACTCAAAATGTGATTATTATGATTGATCGCAGGTATTAAAATCTCAAAATAATGATTAAAAGTTAATTTTTTTGATAAAACTCATAATGATTACGGTCCCTGGTCAAAACGTACTACCTCCATAAAAATTTCGTTTGGTAGGATCTCTTAAATGCTAAAGGTTTTAAGATTTCTAATTGTTCCTTGAATGAGTTTTTTCATTTTTTGACATTTCTTTGAATATACCTTTAGAATCTAATTATTTTGATAAATAGCAATAAACCTAACTTGTTTGAAGAAACAAACAAAAGATTTATATTCAACGTTCGTTCTCCAAATGGTTAGGATTTATACTTATTTCTACAATATTCCATACAGTTTTCATTTAGTGTTTTGATAAACAGCAGTAGTACCTAGAGGTGCAAAACTATCTATAGTCAGACCATCAACAGTATTCGATATTATTTTCAAAACTATCCATATATCGTCGATAGTATCGCATTTATATGGTTTTCGCTCAATTTTGGTATGAAGATTTCCTTAAAAATACATTCGAAAGACGTTTGGATACCTTTGTAAACTACTGGACACGTTTTTTTTAATTTTTTAACCGTTAAGTTAGAAGTAATGCTATTAAAAATTTGAAATGAATTGAAATTGAAATAAATTGGGCGTTCTGAAATTTTATATTTGTCATATAAATATAAAGCATTCAGCAAGTAAATTTAAATTTTAGAACAAGAAAAATTTTTTTATCTGAAAAGTAATGGTTTTTATTTAGCTTTAATAACATAGCAAATAGTGGTGGCCGCTGTGGTGTAGTTGTAAAAGCGGCCGCTGTGATGTAGTAGTAAGCAGCGCGCGCTTCCACTCCGCAGGGTCTGGATTCAAGGCCTGGTCGAAGCAACAACGCAAAAATTTAGATAAAAGATTTTTTCTTAACCAGTAGTTGGTAGGTTCACAATCCGCAAATATAAAGATTTAAAAAATCCGCCGTCAAATAAGAATGTTACAGCCTAAAAACGCGATTTAGCTGCTCAGAATGAAAAAAGAAATCGATTAAGCGGTGACTGTCTGTCCGTCCGTACGTCTGTCCGTCTGTGCACACGATAACTCGGTTAAAAATTAAGTATCTTAACGAAACTTGATATGTGTACTTGTTTAAGCGTAGGTCAGATAGTATTGAAAATCGTCAAAATCGTACAGTAACCACGCCAACCTCCCATAAAACGGTAATTTTCAGAAACACGAAAACTGCGATATTTTTGTAACTAGCGAAGCTTATTCACAAAAAATTTATATTTATAATGATTTTGAGACGAAAAATAATAATATTATAAATTAACGAAGTTATGGAAAATGGGTGTAGCTACGCCCACTTATGATTACATGTGTATATCTTGGTAACCACTCCACCACTTTATCCCAAACTTGGCACAGCTCTTGGTCTTGGTACAGCATACCAAACGGCTGAAAATTTTTAAAATCGGACAATAACCACACCCACTTCCCATATAGCGGTTATTTAGAGAAATACGAAATCTTCGATAAATCAGTTAATACTGAAGCTAATTCATGCAAAATTGATGTTTGCAATAATTCTTTAGCAGAAAATACGTTTGTGATACAATTTTTGAAAATTGTGGCACCGCCCTTTTATGACCACACTAGTAGACCCGGCGAACTTCGTCCCGCCCAAAATTTTTATATATTTTATTAAAACTTTTTGGTCCAACATTTTCACCAACAATTCACGTTTACGATTTTCATTGGCAGATTTGTCTGCTAAGATTAAGGTTTGGTGGTCATTTGCCTCTTTAAATAACCTAAGGAAAGTGTTATATCCGTTCTTGAAATTCTCCAGTTGTGCGGCATTTCATAGCACGGTTATTCGCAAAGCGAAATAAATTTTTTCCTCTTCACTCCCTGGCGGCAACAATGACCCGGTTCTATAGTGAAAGTCCTAGAAGCTTTGCAGTATAGTAGGTGGCAATTTCAAAATCGGTGCGAATCATTGTTCTACAGAAATGCAATATACATATACTTATTTAAGACGAAATACCTTAAAAGTTTGAACGCATAATAATATTGGAAAATCACATCCATTGGGACAATTGCAACGCAGGAGCGTTCAATATACTCAATGATGCAACATGTCGATTTAATCTGACCTTCACGGCCCCTTTTCTCACTTGGCTATTTTTAGTAATAGCTCGACTTCAGCACCACTTGGCAGCACGTTTTTGCAATAGTATTGCATACATATTTAAAACATTAGCCAAATCGGATCATAAATAAGATTTTTAGTAATAACTCAACTACAGCGCCAACTGTCGGATTAAATTGTGAAACTAAACCATCCAGAGACCCACTCAAATACACAAAAAGTTTCGTTAAAATCCGTACAACCATTTAGGAGGATTTCACTCACAAACACACCTACAGAAGAATAAAAAAATTCATTCAAAGATAGCTAAAAGTCGGTACGTTTGCAGGCCTCACACCCCTTTTTCAAATAGCCCAAATTTGTCTCCATGAGTATGGGCTTGATTTCAAACTACATACATATCTCCATACAAGTTCCAGTACTGTACCATGAATACTTTCAGAGATATGCAGTATAAAAATTCGATTTATATGGGAGGTGTCACGCCCCCCTTTCCAACAGCTGCCCTCTTTCTTCATGAGTATGCGATTGATTTCGTATATCTCCATACCAAGTTCCAGAACTCTACCATGAACACTTTCAGAGATATGTAGCATGAGAAATTCGGTTTGTATGGGAAGTGCCACGCCCCCTTTACATATAGATTTTTTTTTAGCCTAAAACCATATTTGGGACACGTGCGGCGGGTGGCAGTTTAAAAAAAATCGGTGCAACCGCTCTTGAGCCTTGGGAAAACTAAAAAAACGGCTTTCAAAATATATATTAGTTGAGATATATTATATATTCTATTTATATTTTGACAGTATCCGTTGTTTCTGATTGGCGCAAAAAAATCTTGCCTAGTGACGAATTCGCCCCTTGATATGGTCGTTACTTAAAGCTATTTATATTCGAAATTGCATGAAAATTGGAAAACAGGAATCTATAAGCTTATCCAGGCAAAAAGCTACCTACGTACCGAATTTTAAGCAAATCGGACCATAAATACGATTTCTTCGAACAGATATGTGTATCTCGGTCACCGTTCGATCAATTTGTACAGTTATTGTACTTGCCACTTAACAGCAAAGCGTTGAAAATCAACGAAATCAGTTGGTCTGCTTCTTTTTTATGACGTATATATAATACAGAAGTATTATAGCGACTTTTGCAAGAGTAGTTAACATTTGATGGTATTTTTCAAGGAATGAAACCGGAACCCAAACCGGAACCGTAACCGTTTAAAACCGTTTCGTTTTTCAAAACCGAAACCGAAACCGTAACCGTTATCTTAACCTGAAAAGGAACGATACCGAAACCATTTCAATCACAGGTTTCAATCGGTTTCCAGAAATTTACAAAAATAATAAATCAAAATTTCTTTGAAATAAATGATTTATTTAACCAAAATCAGCAATATTTTGCTAAAATTCTTGTTAAGTAGTAAATAAGTATGTCAAAGTAACTTTTCGCAAAAAGCTACTAAAATGGTGCCTAATAAATTAAATCTCGGATCTGGCATCGGTTATTTGGAAGAAGTCATTTTGATTTTCATTTTCACGTGTATAGTTGTAAAGGACACAGAAATGAAGGGGTTTCATAATTATGTAGTAAATATATGACGAAAATAACAATTATATTTTAGTTTTCATACATCTTTAGTTTTACAGCAAAAAGGAAACATTTAAGTGAATCTGGTGATGACGTTGTTGCTGTGTATCTGTGTAGTTTTCAGCGAAAACTGGTTTTCGTTTGACAGATTTTACATGGACGAAAACACAAGTTTTAGGTCACATGTTTCCGATGTCGGTCAGAACATGGTATAAGTGACAAAAACAAGAAAAACGTGAATCAGCTGTTTCTCGACTTGTGGGCACTAAATGTGATTTTTGCGTTCCCGTACTTCTGGACTTTGTTCCATTTTTGAAAAAAAAATGTTTC